TATATATCTCTCAATTCACCATACTCAAACAACCCTGCAGTCTTCTCCCTAAACGCTCACTAGAACGTATCCTTTTTGGGAAGTAGCTAGTTGCCCCGGTTCCTCATGTCAGGCGGTAGATAGTTAGGCAGAATATGGCAAGCTTGCTTAGATGCTACGGTAATCTTTGAATGAGTGATGAGTTTTAACTTGTAGGAAACAAGCTTGTATTCAGAATCATTTAATTATCATTGATAATCACACTTGTCACACTCTGTCACTCAATAATGAGTCTCAGTTATTTGCGTGCCCAAGTAACAATAAATAACTATACTATACAATAACAAATAACAACGACCAAATACATTTAGAAATCAAAATCTGAAAGAAGTACAGTAGTTAAACGATTTTTTAGCCGATTTGCACGCATAGAAGCAAAACAAATTATTTTTACATTTTATTTATTAGGCATGTCTTCACGAAAAACACCTCATTGTTAAATGACATTTTATTAAATGGCAAGTTAGATCGCTCTTTGATCGTGTCAAATTATGGGTTCTTTAATGTACGCGTACAGTTCCCTATAGATGTGAAGTGAAAATACTGCAATCTTCTCATTTCAGACCATCTAATAGAAAAAGCCTTTATTGGTATCAATTAGTTGTGGCAATACTGCTATGCGAGTTGGTGAATAATTAATTTTTGTGAATATTTCACTTATGTGTTTAAAATACAAATGGAAAGGCAACCTAAACCCAATTTTGAGAATTTGCCAGTAAATATTTTATATGGAAGTAAATATCTCGACCATGGTTGAACTATATATATCTACTAGTTTAACCATGATCTCGACATTCCCAAAATAGCCGGAATTTAGACCTACAGAAGTGGAGTTGGTCAGACACGGTTGCATAATCCTCACACTGACTGGTGTTGGCCGAGCACGACTGCATGAACAACCCACTGACGCATAACAAAATTCAGCACATGCTTAGCATGTTCAATGGAGACGGTCAAAATTACTGTCGAACCGAACGAAGCAACGAATTTTCTGGATGGGTGCATGCCGGAGGCCAGCTTTGTCGAACTTCACACTAAATTCATATTAATTTCCGTGGGTAAGGATGCTACAGGGAATAACAGTCTATGCAGGCAATAAGTCCAGCAGCTATCTCAATCAATCGTCAGTTATGGAAAGATCGGGTTCCAAAGGCCGGACCCCTTGTGAATCAAGTCACGAAAAATTCAAGGATCGGCAACAGGCCATGGGCCTATTTCTTCAGTGCCGACTCTTCTACTCTATTCTAATCTATTCTATTTTATTCTATTCTATTCTATTATATTATATTATATTATATTATATTCTACTCCATTCTATTCTATTCCATTCTATTCCATTCTATTCTATTTTAATCTATGATGATAAGTGCTCAAGGCCGTAGCACCGCATGTACATAGCCACAGCTTAAGCATGCTCGAATTAAGCATGGTCATACTGCATCTTGCCAAATCAACTCCGGTGAAATCTCTTCTGGCCTCTGCTAAATAAATATTTTAGTTTCTATCGTTTTTGTTTCTATTTAATATCGCCAGTTTCTGGTCAGAATCGGCGAGGAGGCCGGGCGGGCACAGCAGAATTGTAGCAGTGAGTTGCGAGTTCGAGACCGCAAAATGCCGTGAATATTCTGCGATGTTATGAATCGGCGACAGGCCTACGGCCTAATAAACGCTGAAACCGCTATAATTTTATATTATTTATTTTATGATGAAGCTGGGCGTTGGGTCCAGGGCTTATATATGAGTAAAATTTGTGACCCACGGCTGCGCTCCCTAAAATCTTGTTAGACAAATTTACGTCGGTATATATGTTGTGTGTTGGAATTGGAATTGGGGTGCGTGGTTACCTACGGTCACGACCTTTAAATCGGTCATACACGCTGCCTAAAAAAACTTTTACTAGCATCAAAAAAATTAAAAGTTCACACTCGTATGTTAACAAAAAAGTTCAAATATACCATATTCACAGCTGTCCTAAGAAAAAATATAAAAATTTGACAATCGCAAAAAATTAAAACCACGTACTAAAACAATTGGGCACGTTCACACGTCTTCCCACCCTCCCCTCTCTCAACCCTCCACTCACGACTCCACTCTTATCATCCTCCTCCTCTCCCTCATCATCCACACGTTTTCCAAATATCTCTTCACACTCTCAAACATAGCCGCAGTTGCTCCCTCAGACAGACCCGTAATTATCGCCATCCACTCTTCGCTTGTTCTCTCATGCCCCACCTCGTTAGTATCACCTCTCTCATTCAGAATCACCTCAATCATAGAC